TTAAAAAAAAAAAAGACTATTATTAAGTTGTTATTTAATTATAAAAAAATATTTTATAATTAAATTATGAAATAACAAAATCGTAATTGTAATTGTTGGCGGATTCAGGAGAAAGATTTGAAAAAAGAATGGTGGTCTAACTTTTTATTAAGTTTTAGATTACATCTCCAATTTAGTTCTTAAACTATTGTACGAACTTTTGATTTGATTTTTAAACTAAAAAAATCTCTGATTTGATTCATAAACTATTGTACGGACCCATGATTTAATCCTACTATTTATCAATTTACCTCAAGTTGGTTTTTCCGTACAAAAACCAACTAAAGTGTCTTATTATTAACTTGACATGTGACCGTTAAATTATTATTTTTTATCGTTAAGTAATGCACATGTCAACTGTTTTTTGTATGGAAAGATCAATTTGGGACAACTTGATAAACAATGTAGACCAAATTGGATTCGTATAATAGTTTATGGACCAAATCAAGGATTTTTTTAGATTAAGGATCAAATTAGAAATCTGTTAATAGTTCAGGGACCAAATGGAGGGTTTAAGTGGCTAATTTCCCAGGAAAAGTCAATGTGTTCCTAGAGGGAGTAAAATGTAACAATAAGAAATAGAGAGATTATAATTTTGTTTTAGTAGAAATTTTGGATCTACTTAAATTCCCCCTAAAAAATAAAAAATAAAACCCTTGATGAAACCCTAATAAACTCAGCCCCTTTGTCATCTCACCCTCTCTAGAGCGGCAGCACATCCGGTGGCCCTAACCCCAACCATGGCTGCACCTACACCGGCTGTGGAGTCCGTCCAGAGCTTTGGACGCAAGAAAACGGCGGTGGTCGTCACCTACTGCAAACGCGGGAAAGGATTGATCAAGATCAATGGCTGCCCATCGAGCTTGTCGAGCCCGAGATCCTACGATTCAAGGCCATTGAGCCAATCCTACTCCTCGAACGTCACCGCTTCAACGGAGTAGACATGAGGATTCGCGTCAAAGGTGGAGGGCACACCTCACAGATCTACGCGATCAGGCAGAGCATCGCCAAGGCTCTTGTCGCCTACTACCAAAAGTTTGTGGATGAGCAGTAGAAGAAGGAGATTAAAGACATCTTGGTGAGGTACGATAGGACTCTGCTCATCGCTGATCCCAGGCGGTGCGAGCCCAAGAAGTTCGGTGGTCGTGGCGCCAGAGCTAGGTTCCAGAAGTCTTACCGTTGAAGTATCAGAAAGAATGTTCTTCTTATGGTGGTTTTTGTCTCATTTTTTAGCCCTTTTAATGTTCAACTGCATTTACTTATACTATGTTGTTCCCAGTTATTCAATGCTAGAAATGTTTTGATTCTAATTTTCCAATGCAAATTTTATTCTATCTTGCTCAAGTAAAGAGCTACTCTTCAATTGATTGTGTTCTTTTAGTGTATACATTAATGGGGTTTCAGACTAAACTCTGCTTGATCATAACCAGTAGCCCTTAAATTTGTATTTAGAAGTTCGGATTTGATTCTGGATGGTAGTTGCTCTTATTGGGATTTGTTTTGATTCTAATTTTCCAATGCAATTTTATTCTATCTTGCTCAAGTAAGACCTACTCTTTAATTGATTTTGTTCTGTTACTTAATGCATTAATGAGGTTTCAGACTAAACTCTACTTGATCATAACCAGTAGCCTTTAAATTTGTATTCAGAAGTTTGGATTTGGTTCTGGATGGTAGTTGTTCTTATTGGGATTTGTTTTATATACATATGCTTTAGGTAAATGTGCAGTTTAGAAGAATCTAGTTATGCAAAAAGATGTCTGTTTTAGTTATTTTTGGCTTTTAAAACTGGCTCAATTGTTT